ATCATGCTAGCATTTTCCACTTCTGCAGCAAATAGTACGCTTCATCCAGAGATCTCAAAGTCCTTCACAGAAGTGGATATCACTGATACCATCTCTTTTTTACAGCTGGGGAAACGGAGACACAGAGAGGCTTCAAGGATTTGTCCAAGGTTATCAAGCAAGACAGTGACAGACAGGCCTAGAACCCAGGAGTCCTGATTTCCAGCACCATGCTCTAACCATTAGACAGTGCTGCCATAATGTGGGAGAGAATGGTCTAGATGACTTTACTAGAGCTTTTCCATTGCTAGTTTCTGGGATTCAGTGGTTAGACTCACACTTGAATTATTGAGCATCAGTCTGGGCTCCGTATTACAGGAAGGATATGAAAGAACTGAGAAAAAGAACTAAAGTGGGGAAGAAGATAAGACAGGGTCCTTGGGGGCTACAACTATGAGGAGAGATTCAGGGCTAGACAGACACACAGACTTGCACCAAAACAACAACAGAAGTGCATTCAAACCCCTTTTAACGATTTTGATACACATGGGAACAGCCCCCAGAGATGATGTGTTAGAAGGCTTGAGAGCAGGTGCAAAGGCACAAGCAGGGTCAGAGAGGCAGCAACTGGGTACTAGAAGAGTTCAGAAGAAGCTTCTTTATGTAGCAGAGGGGAATGATTACGTAGAAAGGCAGCCATAGTAGCGGCAACCAAACAGAGACAGCAGAGTTCTGTCTGAACGTTCTTACCTACTGTTGTTTCAACTCCTAAACATACTATCCCGATTGTTCTCTATAACACCTAGTTTATTTTGTGCATTTGACAGCCTCAAAAGTCAGCCTCCTCTAAAGTCAAGACCATCAGTTTGGATTTTAAAACCACAGAAATGGTCAGAGCTACTCAGAGGTATGTAAAAAGAAAAGGAGGACTTGTGGCACCTTAGAGACTAACAAATTTATTTGAGCATAAGCTTTCGTGAAATCCTTATCTTTTTGTGGATACAGACTAACATGGCTGCTACTCTGAAACCTGTCAGAGGTATGTGTAGAACCCAGTGCTGCTAACTCACAAGATATTATCTGAGTCTTGCAATTTGGGGGGTTATCTTGAAGCCCGCAACTCAGTCCTTAATTTGTAATGAAAGAGATGGTGGGGCTCAAGCAATTAGGTGCTGGGGCTCATGCAAGCCTGGAGGTGCCAGGGCTATGAACTGCCATGTCCTAGAGGTGCCGAGACTCAGCCCTGGCAAGCCCTGGCACAAATCAAGCACTGTCCCAACTACTGGAATCAGGTTATTAACTGAGAATCTCAGCTTTCATTTTAAAAAGGTAAGTATCTAGGCTTTATGACTACAGAAAAAAAGCTTGAAAATGTGAACCTTAAAGACACCAAAACCAGGAGACAAATAAAAAGAACCCGACATTTATTATTTTTAAATCACATGGTTTTAAAGCCTGTGTCAAGGTTCCTTCCCCACTCTGAACTCTAGGGTACAGATGTGGGGACCTGCATGAAAAAACCCCTAAGCTTATTCTTACCAGTTTAGGTTAAAACTTCCCCCAGGTACAAACTTCTACCTTTTGTCCTTGGACCTTATGCTGCCACCACCAAAGTGTTACAAAGAACAGGGAAAGAGCCCACTTGGAAACGTCTTTACCCCCAAAATCCCCCCAAGCCCTACACCCCCTTTCCTGGGGAAGGCTTGATAAAAATCATCACCAATTTGCATAGGTGAACACAGACCCAAACCCTTGGATCTTAAGAACAATGAAAAAGCAATCAGGTTCTTAAAAGAAGAATTTTAATTAAAGAAAAAGTAAAAGAATCACCTCTGTAAAATCAGGATGGTAAATACCTTACAGGGTAATCAGATTCAAAACATAGAGAATCCCTCTAGGCAAAACCTTAAGTTACAAAAAGACACAAAAACAGGAATATCCATTCCATTCAGCACAACTTATTTTATCAGCCATTTAAACAAAACAGAATCTAATGCATATCTAACTAGATTGTTTATTAACCCTTTTACAGGAGTTCTGACCTGCATTCCTGCTCTGGTTCTAGCAAAAGCATCACACAGACAGACAGGCCCATTGTTTCCCCCCTCCAGCTTTGAAAGTATCTTTTCTCCTCATTCGTCATTTTGGTCAGGTGCCAGTGAGGTTACCCTAACGTCTTAACCCTTTACAGGTGAAAGGATTTTGCCTCCGGCCACGAGGGATTTTATAGTTCTGTATACAGACAGGTGGTTACCCTTCCCCTTATATTTATGACCGCCTGTCTTGTGATTTTGAGGGTTCTGATGTGATTTTTGGAATGTTTGACTTTTACTTATTTTCTGAAATGGACTAGATTACAAAATGACAGTGACCCCTTCCCTTAAAATCTTGTCCAGATACTGCATTGTGTTTGTTCTTGAGCGGAAGTGAAACAATTCATTATTGGCTCCATTCTGGAGCTGCTAAACATCCCTTTAGGAAAGGCTTAAAATTATAAAATGCTGGTGTAAACATGGCTTTCACCATGCTTCACTGACTGTCACTAGCATCTTTTCAGTACTGTTTAAGGAGGCAGATTGCAACTCCCAGTGCCCATGACCACGTCTCAAGTCATTACCCACTTTTCACTGGTCTCTAATGTAAATGTTTAGTTATACTGGTATAACTTAAATTGGTTTAAAACCCGATGTAAATTAAACCAGTGCAAAACCCTGTATGGACACTCTTATATGGGTTTAAAACTCACTGTGTTGGTCAAGCTTGTAGGTGCAAGCCAAAAAGATATAAGCCAAGTTCAAATCAATATAACAGCATCCCTACATAAACTTGCTCTGTTTTATCTAAATCGTTTTAAAATCACACCTTTAGGCTTGTCTATCAGAGCAAGTTGCACTGTTATAGCTTTCCTTTTTCCGGAAGAAAACCTTTGTGTGTAGGCCAGACTGTAGATTCTCTGGTAGTTGTCCATCAGTGATATGCTCAATGAACAGGATCCACAACCCAATTCCAGGCAGGGTTTGTAAATACAAGCTGATTTTATTGGTGAGTCAGAGAAAGAGAAAAAAATCACATAGTAAAAGGGGGGGTCCAAAAGGGAATGCTCTGTTACATGGGTCATAATGCTGTGTCCTTGACCCCAAAGTTAAAGGCTTCCTGTCTCCAAGCATTCCAGTCTGTCACATGTCCCAAGGAAGTCTGTCTCCCTGTCCTAAGGAAGGGCTATAATTTAGAGTCTTTCTCTTAGCTATGTGTTAAATCTAAATTAGTTTTTGACATTAAATTATAGCCCTGTCCCCAGAGCAGGATGGTAAAACCTGTTTGAGCCCTGTTCCAATGGCTTCTGCCTTGTTATTCCCACCAGATGAAACACCTTTCATTTTGTGTGTCAGCTAAATGCTTCTCCTGTTCCCAAACATGCACAAACGTTTCAGCAACATTCTGTTTAAAGGGCAATTTTTTCTCTCAGTGTCCAGCTTGGATAACTAGGTTGGGCCCTCTGGGTGTTTATGGGAAAGAGGGGGTATCCTCCTACCTGCTTCATAGAACAAGAGTAGAAAACATTAGTTCCTCTGGGAGTGGGCTCTCCACATCTACACAAGCGACATCTGCTCACAAACTGCAGCCACATACATACAGACACTGCCACAGTCTTCGGGAGGATTGAATCAAGATTTTAAGCAATAAAAGTACAACCTCCTACCACTCGACCTACAGCAATAACTCCATTATCACCCACTAAGTACAGTTTATTATCCTCACTGTGGAGTGAGCCATCAGGAGTCATAGTCATGTGGACCAAGCTAGTGTATTACATGTAATCAGAGAAGTATTTTGTTCAACTGAATGATTTACAATCCATACCTTTGACCTATTTACCTGGACAAATCAGGAAAGCTGCTTGGCCAAGATTAGTGCTCCACTGTATTTGGGTGCAAATTTTCAGGTAACAGATAGGCTCAGAAATGTAATACAAAACTCTAAATCACAGATCTGGCTATATGTGGTCTGGCCGATGGACATGTGAGAACTGTACTGCCCTGAAGAGGAATTTGGGTGGACAGAAATGGGGGCATGATTTGAGGCTAAATGTTGGAGAAATGGACTCTAGATTTCCGCAAGCAAATAGCAATGTGTGTGTGTGTGTTCTCATGCAAAAAGAACACGTGCGTGCAAGCCATGGAACACGTATGAGCAGGTAGGGAAATGTCCAAGTGCTACTAACAGAAATAGCTGCATACAAGTATGTGTTCGGGCAAATAATGGAAAATGTGCATACAAAAAGGCACGTGTGCACAAGAGGATATGTATTTGTGCAACGAACAGGATATGTATGTGCACATGTAATCCACGGTAAGGCTATGTTACATGTACCCATCGGCAGAGGATGTGAGTCTGCTGCAGCCCCTGCCCAGCTCAGGCTTTTGGCTCAATCCCTAGTGTGAACCAAGATGGCAGGCATCACAAGGGGCCTTGTGCAGACTGATGCAAACATGCGAGTAGAAGCCATGCCGCAGAATCTCCCACCTATATAACACTTGAGCCTGGTGCCCCCAAACGTGGCCGGCAGCTGCCCATTATGAGGGCGCTGCGACCAGATGTCCCGATTTTATAGGGACAGTCCCAATATTTGGGGCTTTGTCTTATACAAGTGCCTATTTTGTATAATCCTGTCCCGATTTTTCACCCTGGCTATCTGGTCAGCCTACATGCGGGGTTGCTTGCCACCTTCAGCCGGGCCTAGCTTGACCATAGCTAGAGCCACGTCCTTGTGCTGCGTGTGCAAGTAACGGGGTGTGGGCGTGCAAAGGACGGGGGGTGCACCAGCCCCGCCTAGATGTGCACAAGTGCCCGTTCACCCCCCACGCGCCGCTGAGAGTGCCGCGCGCGCACACCGGACCCCTAAGGCCGCCGGCACTGTGGGGTCACGGGGGGTAATGGACCATTCCCGCGCGCTCCCGTGCCGCGTACGCGCCCCGCGCGCTCCCTGCTCCCATTTCTTGCTGTGACGCAGCCGCCTTCACCACCCGCTTCCAGGCAGTCAAGTGACTCCACCTCCTTGTGACGTCAGCTCAGCAGTGGTGTCTGAGGCAGGTGGCGAGAGGGCGAGTGGGAGAGAGGAGCGGGGCTGCTGGGTGCGCAGGTACCGCGAGGGCGCGGGGTAGGGGGCTGGCGGAGCCCTGGGCTGAGGGGCAGAGGAGTGGGGGAGCCCTCGGCGGAGGGGAACGGAGGGGGGGTCTGGGGAAGCTCTGAGCTGAGGTGGGTTTAGGGGAGCCCCGACTGAGGGGGGGTGGGGGAGCTCTGGCGCGGGAAGGGAGTTGGGTGGGGTCTGGGGAAGCCCTGGACTGAGGGGGAATAACAATGCTGGGGTGGGGGGAGGGGTCTGAGTGCCTGGGATGGGGTGGGTCTCTTTTGGGAAATCATCTTGGCTTCTCCCCACCCTGGCAGGGTGAGCTGGGCAGCATTCCAGTTGTGAGGGGCTGCTTACCTTCTCTCAGGACTTGTGAGAGTCACTTCCCTTGTGGGGAGTGGTGCAAAGAAAACCAAGCACATCTAGATGAAATACCAGGGGAAACTTTATAGCTCCAAGAACAGGGTCTTGCAGCCTCAGGACACTGGTGTTGGGATCCTGGAGATATGAGACCAGCATAGACACTTCTTAGTTGGGGTGGCTTAATCAAATAAACGCAGCCATGAGGGAAGGCGGGGCTGGCACTGGCTACTAGTCCCCGGGATCCTATGATGTTTCTGCCCCTTCTGCCAGCCCTAGTTATTTACATGAAGCTGCTTTAAAATGTTTAAGCTTTCCTTGTGGGGAGACAGACAGCTGTGGAATTAATGGGCTGTTTGCCTTGTGCTGTGGTATGTTCTGTCAAGGTTAGTAGCATTTATTTCAAATGCATTTGTTTGGTTATATGATGGACACAATGCAAATGAATTACGAGGGCAGGGCATCTTAGACACACCAGTGACAGGCACGTTAGCATTGTCTGAGTTAACAGAGACATTCTTACCATACCCCATATTAGAGGCTAGCACAGGGGTGGGCAAACTACGGCTCGGGGGCTGCATCCGTCTCTTCAGATGTTTTAACCTGGCCCTCAAGCTTCCATCAGGGAGCAGAGTGCAGGGCTTGCCCTGCTCCGGTGCTCCAGCCAGGAAGCGGGGTTGGAAGTTGGCCCCACTCTGTGCACACCATGGCTCCAACCGGCTCCCAGAAGTAGCAGCATATCCCTCCCCTGGCTCCTATGTGTAGGGGCAGTAAGAGGGCTCCGCATGTTGCCCAAGGCCCAAGTGCGGCCCCCGCAGCTCCTGTTGGCCAGGAACCGCAGCCAATGGGAGCTGCAGGGGCAGCGCCCCTAGACGGGGCAACGTGCAGTGCAGCCTGGCCGCGCCTCTGCATAGGAGCCGGAGAGGGACATGCCACTGCTTCCAGGAGCTGCTTGAGATAAACGCTGCCGGAGCCTGCCCCCCTCCCTGCCCCAGCCCAATCACTCTCCCACCCTCCAAACCCCTCAGCTCCAGCCTGGAGCACCCTCCTGCACCCTCATCACCAGACCCACCCCAGAGCCCGCACCCCCAGCCGGAACCCTCATCCCCCTCCCCCCCGCCCCAGCCCAGAGCTCCCTCTTGCATCCTGAACTCCTCATTTCTGGTCCCACCCCAGAGCCTGCACCCTCACCCTATCCCACACCCCAACCCCCAGTTTTGTGAGCATTCATGGCCCACCATACAATTTCCATACCCAGATGTGGCCCTCGGGACAAAAAGTTTGCAGGGGTGCAAGCTCTGGCAGCGCTTATCTCAGTCAGCTCCCAGAAACAGCGGCATGTCCCTCTCTGGCTCCTATGCGGAGGTGCATCCAGGCGGCTCTCCAAGTTGCCCCATATGCAGGCGTTGCCCCTGCAGCGCCCATTGGCTGCGGTTCCTGGCCAACAGGAGCTGCGGGGGCCGCACTTGGGCTGTGGGCAGCATGTGGAGCCCCCTTGCTGCCCCTACACGTAGGAGCTGGAGAGGGGGCATGCCGCTGCTTCTGGGAGCTGGGTGGAGCCATGGCATGCACAGAGTGGGGCCAACCCTTGACCCAGCTCACTGGCTGGAGCAGGGCAATCCCTGGACCCTGCTCCCTGGCGGGAGCTTGAGGGCCAGATTAAAATGTCTGAAGGGCCGGATGCGGCCCCTGGGCCGTAGTTTCACCATCCCCGTTTTATGCAGTGAAACCTATAAAAAGCAACACCTTTATTGGCCAATCTCTTGTATTAACAATCTGCAACAAAATGTCTCTAAATCTATATTGAATTATGGCTCTTCTTCACCTTTATTACAAGATCATCTGTATTAAGCAACTGATTTGGTCTCTCTTAAGTAGTTTGTGAGTTTTAACTGGCATTGAAAATCGTACATATCCTAAAAATGTTAATGTAGTGTTTCCATTACAATGATACCCACAGGTGTTTCATTCTGAATTATACAGTACCTTGCTTACATAGACGAGGTTGTAAACCTATATTCCAGTGCAATTGATTCATTATTTACTATTGTGTTGAAACTATGCTGTTGAAAATTTAGGGGGAGAGAGATTTGATAGGACAGAGAGGCATAGGAACTCTATCGTAAATAGTTAAATGTCTTGTTTGCTGCTGGAGAGACAAGTTGGGTGAGGTAATATCTTTTGTTTTCTGTTTGTAGACTTTTTCTAATTCAGATAAAATAATTTAATGTTATATGCTTCTTGTGGAACGTAACTTGCCTGTGTACAGAATTTTTGGGTTTAATAGATTGTCCTATCTTATTTGTATCTGATCTATCTTTTTGTTGTGTTAAACCCCAGTTTAAGCTGGCAGTATACTTGCCAAGTATGCCGTAAACACATATTGGGAATCATTACATTGAACAAAAGTGATATTGGAAATAGGCACTTAGTGAGACATGAGATATTGTTTCAGTGTTTATGTATGTTTGGAAATGAGAAAATGACACTATATGGTTCAGTGAGTGGAAAAGAAATTTTTGTCTTCAAGGAAATGGGGTAAGGTAACAAAGTGTAAGTCAATCAAACTGGATTCAAATAAATTGTACTGTTAGGGTCAGGGTTTCGGCTATGAATTAGTGTCATATGCTCATTAGCTCTGACACTGGTCAGTCAAGAGGAAGGCTGTAAAGACTTGTCATGTGACAAGAGGAGATCACTTCCTCAAAGGGTTTAGATTTAATTAAGCTCCACTTAATGATCTGTGTAAACAAAAATAAAATTTTAGTATGATTATAACTGTTAAAAATTTGACTAAAAGTCAGTATTCTAATTTCTGCTGTAGTTGTATATCCTAAAGATAGTACTATGTGACATTAGCAATGTACTTATCCATCAGTTCACAGGATACAACATTAGATGGCAAAGTGGGAGACCCAAACTCAGATCTAGACTTCGGCAATTTCCATACCACATGTAAGAATCTGCTGAGTGTTTATTGGAATAAGCTGCAGGCCTTGTCAATTTCATTAATTGTGTTGGCATAAGAGTATACAAATGTTGTCAGTGTGGATTTAACTGCACTTCTGTGCCATGTGACTTGTGAAGCCATTAAACAGAAGAATATTGTGTCCTCCCTCTGGGCTGCAGATAAGGCACCATGTTGCAACTGTATATAGGGTATGGAGAGATTAAGAAATGGTAACAGAAAAAGAAGGGGCAGGGAATCCCATTCCAGTGGTCAGCCTGACAAGAAAATTCTGCTCTGAGGAATGTGAGTCTTAAGAGAAGATGAAGAGGAAAGTGAACACAAAGACATTTTCTACACAAATGTTTTCAGTTGTGTGCAGTTTGTTTTAGGGCCATATGCTGATCCCATTTACTGTCGCGAGAATTGCATCGCACACCTGTGGCAGTATGTGCCCTTAAATCATCCCAGCAAAACTTCAGTGTTACTCACTGACATGGGCAATTACTGCTGCTCTCTGTCAGGCTGTCATTTATGTAATAAGCAACATATTTCCCTATATTTTTTTAAAGGATTTTTAAATTAACTTGTGCACCCACCATGTTATTAACTGTTCATCAGCTTGAACAGTGTGACTGTTCTAGTCAGTTTTACTCTTATCAGTCTTAGATTCTGGTTTTCATGCACTGTTTGTGGTTGCATATGAATATTTAAATTCAAACTGTTTTCATTGTAATTTAAAACAAAAATCCTAGACAGTTTTAAACAAAACCTAAATTTTAGGCTCAAACTTATCAAGCATCTGTATTGTTACAACATTAATACTGTGCAAATGTCTTTGTAAAAGAAAACATTAAAAACACAAAAGCTAAGATTCTGCAGAAACAAACAAAATTATGTTAAGGCCACAGTTCTTCAGTGAGCTCCACACAAGTGCGGGGTCTGCCTTTCTCTCCTTTGCAGGGTTGTGGTGTAAGCACCTAAAACTGTAGAGCTTGACTTCAGTGGAGCTGTGATAGTTTTCACTGACTGATGATCTACCCCTGTGACTTTTCCTGTATCCGTGACTTCAGTGTCCCTGGTACTAAGCCCCATGTTTTATAAAACCTACAGCATGTCAGAGAAACTTGAAGACCTTTTTATATAATTGCAGGTTTGGTATAATTACAGTGGCAACACACTGGGTGTAATTTATCTTGACTTAATAAAGCTTTTCTTGTAGGAACCACATACAGTTGCTTTCCAGCTTCTAGCTCTTGTCTGTATAAACCGAGACAAATGTGTGGGTATAAACTGGGGAACAGCAAACTGTGAGAATTAATAGTGCAGCCTTAAACTAAGGGGAAGTAATAAGGGAGAAGTGGAATGTGTTTTAGGCCTTCTCCTCTTCAATGTGTTCCCTAATGATCCAGAGGAAGCTGAAATTCCCTTGTGAACGGAGGATTACAGCAGTGGAGCCCTGGAGCTTGTGGGGATGTATTGCTGTTGTGAGGTCTTCAGGAGATAAAGAGCAGCAAGCTCAGATTCTGTAACTGTACCATACTCCACAAATGGGGGTTTTCCATGGGAAGAGCGTGGAGCTGGAAGAAATATTTTCAACTAACCTTTTAGGTGAAAACTGAAACAAAGAAGTCATTTAACACTTCTGCAATTTCCACATTTTCTGTTATTGTTCCCCCCCCCCCCCTTAAGTAACGGCCCTACC